GTTATTTTTTCTTTTCTACAGCATTTACATTAAACATTTGATTTCCTTGGATTTAGCCAAGATAAACACCCCAAATTCATAATGTCTTTCAAAGAGATGGCGTTTTTTTTTTAAACCAAAATGAGAAATTGATCCTGCATGTGTTCCCAGAGGAAGAGAGGCTGGTTTGTATTAGGGGGGCTCTTGCAGATTAGTAATTCCTCACACACCTCATAGAGGCTGCTATAGAATAATCTGGATTTAAATGATCAAGTTTTGGAGGCATTAGCCAGGTTTTGAACCAATTTTAAAAATAGAGATTTGCCATATTCTAGCCCCAAGAAACAGAATTGGTAGAGGGAGAATATAATCAGAATAGAATGTCAGTAAAACTTGAGCTCTTTCCTTGGATTCTTAGAGTTTCATAAACCCAAAACCCAGAGTTTCAAACTGGGAGAGATGGGCCAAGAAGTATGAGAATGGGGAGAGCATGCTTCAAGAATTAGGAATATATTTCCCCAGAAAAGGAACATAATTAAAGCAGTCAGAAGTGACAATTTCCTTCCTCTTTTCTAATCTTGGCTCCAGAGCCCACAGCAGAAAGTCTTCAACATCTTGCATGTTACGTATTTCACTGTTCCCATCAGCTTGGAGACAACATGTGGCTCTTCACAGCTCTGCTCCTTTGGGGTAAGTTGGGCTTAGAGGGGGTAGTTAGAAGGGTACAGGCTCTGGTTATGGGAACTCAGGATTTTTTTGTCTTCCTTTAGTATCCTAGGCTAGAACTCATGAGTATGGAGACAACTGTATCTGTGCTTCATGCTTTATTGGTGTTTATTATATCAAGAGGATGGGAAGGGAGACTCAGAGTAACACTAAGTCTGGAAGCATAATGTCAAAATAGAGCCTCATCAAAAACCAGCTGTAGGCTGTTCAGTACCTCTGTACTGGTTTAGGGAAAGGGATAGAGAGAAACTCAGGAGACCTGAGCTGGCCCCTCATAGTCTACATTAATTGTCTCCCCAATTCTCCCTTCTTTGTCATTTCCCCCCGACCAACTGATGTCTCTATTCTTTGCTCTCTTACAGTTCCAGTTGGTGGGCAAGTGGGTGAGTAATGTCCAACTCAACTTCTCTTCCTCTGCTACATTCCTGCTTCCAAATGATGATCCCATTATCCTGAAAAGAGAGTATAGGGAGAGAATAGAAAGGAGAAAGATTTATAAATTATGTAAAATATCCTATATTCAGAGTATGATTTTTATAAAATCCTGGTTTTTAAGGTTTGTCTCTAATATTTTCTGAATGAGCCCTAACCTCTGAACTAAATGCTTAAATGTATATATAATAGCAGGAAAGGGCCAGAATTGCAAAAATACAGAAGCAGCTCTGCTGCGTTTTCCAACATGTCCCAAAAAAGTCCCCTTTAGAAGAAAGCTGAGTACTTTTTTTTTCCTCAGAGAGAATCAAGCAGGTACTGAAGGATTCAAAGTGAGGAATTTGAACCTCGATTTCCAATGCAGATGCTAATTAAGGCCTGATATTAACCCTCAGAGACAGTATAATACAGACGATCAGAAAATCGGCTCCAATCAGTTTGCCTTAGTTTAAAACCCTGCTTCATTGTTTACCAACAATGAGACCCAAATTAGTCATTTATTTCTCCGGAACCCAAAATCTCCAACACCTAGACGCAGATTTAGTAACAGAGCTCTCTGCAGCAGAGTCTGGACACTCTTAATGATTGGCTCTTGTAGGTTCCCACTTGCCTATTTTTCCATCTAATCTAAATGTACATTTTTTCCTTGTGCTATCCACAAAACTTTACCAATTGCTCAGACTTCCCTTTTATTCCACTTGGTCCTTTTTTTTTTTTCAATCCCTAAGCAGACCCCACAAAGGCAGTGATCACCTTGCAGCCTCCATGGGTCAGTGTATTCCAAGATGAAAATGTAACCTTATGGTGTGAGGGACCCCATCTGCCTGAGAACAGCTCTACACAGTGGTTTCTCAATGGCACAACCATTCAGATCTTGACTCCCAGATACAGAATCGCTGCTACTAGCGTCAATGATGGTGGTGAATACAGATGCCAGACAGGTCTCTCAGTGCCAAGTGACCCTATACAGCTGGAAATCCACAGAGGTAAGTATGGCGTGGAGCAGGAGGGCTGGAAATCACAAGGTCTTCCTTTGTGTTTTCTCCTTTCTGGATGCCAGATGTGTGCGTGCTGATTTATCTGAGTATGAGTCTCAGCTCTATGTGCCTACGAGGTGAAATTAAGTCAAGATACAAAAAACATCACATTAGGGTCTTTAAACTGTGCCCCAACAGCACCCCAACTGGGGCAGCTGTGAGTAGGGTATCTAGAGTAAAATTCAGACCCTAAGATTTTATGATTCAAAATTATCTAGTTTTGTTGAAAAAAGGTACGCCTGCACATAGTAAGTAATAATTCAGAGAAATGTACAATGATTAACAATGAAATCTCCCTCCTACCCAAACCCCTAGTCCCACAGTCAACTTTCACAGAAACAAAACTGTTAATATATATAAACTTTTTTAAAAAGTGGTTGGAGAATACTCCGTATACTGTCCCACACCTTACTTTTACCACCTTGGAGATCTGTTTATATCAATAGAGATGTACCTCATACTTTCAAATGTCTGCTGTATGGCTGTGCTATCATTGATTTGACTATTCTCCCTATTAGTAAACTCCTAGTGTATTTCCATTCTTTTGCTTTTACAAACAATGCCATAATAAACATCTTCATACATATAGTATGGGGTACATTTTACGGTATGTCTATAAGATAATGCTCTGGGCATAGAATTACTATGAGACTTTAAGTGTTTTAAACTATGGTAAATAGAAGCAGAAAAAAAAAGCCACCATCCACTTAAATCTGTAAGTAGTTTCTATTTGTCAAGAGATGGAGACTGCAATACTTTTCAGGGCAAAATGTTTCATTGCTCAGGACAAACCATTCAAATGGATTATTTAGTTATTCAAAAGCAACAAGCTAAAACTTCTTTAACAATTGATAATTGATAATGCATTGATAATCCATGCTGGAAGCAGAATTAGATTTATGCGGATTACGTTGCTTTTGGAAGAAATGGGCTTCAGCTAAGGAAACGTTGAGAATGTCAGAGAAAACGCTGTGTGTGTCTCTTAGGACTCTAGGAATCAGTTCCTAGGCTAGAGAGGTTAGGGGAGCTGACAGAACTGTTTTAACAAGAGACTTTGTGTAGTTTGAGCAGAAGCAGAATTGTTTCACGGTTCAAGTGAAAAAAAATGAACTAGGACTGGAAAGAAGCCATTTTCTTTGCCTCTGCCCAGACTCTCGAACTCCCAGCATTGGTGACTTATTGAAAATAATATCTTTTACATACATTGTTGTATATTACATTATTACATTATATATCTGTTTACATTATATTTTAATGTGAATTTTTATTAAAGTATAACATACAAAAACCTTAAATGTACACCTCAGTGAATTTTCACAAAGTAAACAGCAGCCAGATCAAGAAATAGAACACTTCCAGAACCACAGAAACTCCTTCTTGCCCATTTCTAGCCACAATCCCCCAACACACACTTCTAACACCATAGCATTTTGCCTATTTTTTAACTTCATATAAATGGATGCAGTATGGTACAGTTTGTACTCTTTTGTGTCTACCTTCTTTTTCTCATGCTGATTGTGAGATTCATACATGTTGTGAAGTTGCAGTTCATTTGTTCTTGTTACTGTATAATATTGCATATTTATCCATTCTGTTGAGGGACTCTTGGGTTTTATCCAGTTTTGGCCTCTTACAAAGAGTACTGCTGCGGACATTTTTGACCATGTCATTTAGTGCACTTATGGACACATTTCCGTTGGAATATGCCTAGGAGTAGAATTGCTAGATCACAAAATATGCATACATTCAGCTTTAGATTTCCAAAGTGCTTATACCACATTACACTCCCACCAGCAGAGTGTGAGAGTTCTGATTCCTCCTCATCTTCGTCAACACTAGGTGTTTCTAGTTTTTTTCATTGTAGCCATTCTGGTGCATGTGCAGTAAGATCACATTATGGTTTTAATTTACACTTCCCTGATGACTAATGATATTGAGCATTTCATTTTTCACGTTTATTACCTTTTGGATACTCTCTTTCGTAAAATACCTGTCCAGGTTTTTTGCCAATTTTTTTTTATTGTTGTCTGCCTTTTCCTTATCGACTTGTAGGAGTTCTTTATATATTCTGGATATGAGTCCTGTGTCAAGTATTGCAAATATCTTCCACTTTGTGGCTTGCCTTTTTGCTATCTCATTATGTTTTTTAATTTTTTCAGTGAACAAAAGTTCTTAATTTTACTGCAGTACAATACATGAAGTTTTTTGGTTGGTGCTGTCTATACCCTATTTTAAAAATGTTTTGCCATAGTTAGTCAGCAGTGGAGGATTTAATTTCAGTTACACTAATTCTCAGTCACTTTAAATCTGTGTGTGCTGAGACCAAGAAAATACAGCTGGTTTGTGAACCCAAGTCCTAATCATATGACTTAGAAGGAGTGCCCCCTTTCTACTCCAAAGTGAGGAAGATGGGGAGAATGGTTTTTGAGTAGGAAATTAGTGACGTCTGCTAAAAGCCACATCCCACAACTTTTAATATGTAATATTCCCATTATCTCTTAAAGCTAACTATTTTTAATTTCCATTATAATTTCTTTTTTTTTTTTACTCATGAATTGTTTAGAAGTGTTTTTGGATGGTGGCTTTTTATTATTGATGTCTAATTTTATGGCATTTTGGTCAGAATTTGTGTTAATTATGATATCAGTTCCTTGGTATTTGTTGAAAATCGCTTTGTGGCCTAGTACGTGCTTAATTTTTATAACTGTTGCACGTGTGTTTGGAAAGTATATGAATTTTCTCTTTCTAAGGTACAGCATTCTATATAAATCCACATATCAAGTCTATTAATTGTGTCATTCAAATATTTTATATCATTACTAGTATTTTGGACAGTTTGTGATGGAGGTATATTAAAACTTCCCACTATGTTTGTGGATGTATAAAGCAAAGGTATCTGTGTGTTTGGGCAGTCCAGGCTTTGAGCACCTCTTGGTTGGGAACAGGAATAAGGGAGGAAAGAGTATTCATTATATTTAGAAGCTCAATGGCAACATCCAAGACTGTAAAGATAACATAGCACTGGAATACCTGCCTTCTGTTCTTTCCGAGGGGAAAAAAGCACTACTGTCTCTTCTTCTTTTGTCCTTTAAGAACTTCATCCTTATTTAGCCAAACCAATTGCTCCAGAGAAGAAAGAGTAAAGAAGGCATTTTTGGTTATGTGTAGAGGTGTACATTAAAAGAGAGGGTCCGTTTGACTTGGAGCTTGTTTTTACCAGCTATATCACTGATCTGCACATATGTGAGTGTTCCTATCAATTTAGTAGCATATATGCATCTGGATATGGTTTCCATTCTGTGTGTTTGTCTTGGTACGTGTGATCCCATTAACAAATTTGTCAGGAGTTCGAATGTATTACTTTTCTATTGCTGTGTAACAAATTGCCACAAACTTAAGAGCTTAAAACAGCAGACATATCCTGGAAAGATATTATCTTTCCAGGAGTTAGGTGTCCCAGCCCAGCTTAGTTGGGTGCTCTGTCAGGGTCCTACAAAGCTGTAATCAGGGTGTTGGACTGGGCTGTGTACCTTTCTACAGCTCTTCCAAGCTCACACAGTCATTGGAAAAATTCAGTTCCTTGTGGTTGTAGGACTGAGGTCCCCACCTTCTTGCTGGCTGTCAGCTGGGAGCCAATCTCAGCTTCTAGAGGCCCCTTGCCAAATGGCCATCACAGGCTCTCTCACAACATGGCAGCTCACTTCCTGAAGGCCAGCAGGAGACTCTCTCAGTCTAGTCTGCTAAGACAGAGTCTTATATAATGTAACATAATCATGGGAGTGACACCCCATCACCTTTGTCATATTCTGTTGGCTGGAAGCAAGTCATAGGTTCCACCCACACTCAAGGGGATTATACAAGACTGTGACTCATTGAGGTCATCTTAGAATTCTGCCTACTATATTGAGTAAACTGTTTTTGTCCCTAGCAACTTCTGGCATCTGGAAAGGGAACATAAGAAGGGGCTGTGTACACAGCTGCCAGTAAAGATCACTTTTCTTCCCAGCAAGGCTAAAGACATTTGAGGAATGGGAGACAGGCCTCAAATTCAGCGGAGCTCTGAGGTTAGAATGTTGCAAGGAGAAAAAGAGGAGAAAGCCAATAAGAAGATAAGAAGGCTCAGCTTTGGCCTCCTTGTGCCTCTACCACTGTATACATATATTTTGTGTCCATGTTTTTCAGATTGGCTACTACTCCAGGTCTCTAACAGAGTCTTCATTGAAGGGGAACCTCTGGCCTTGAGGTGTCATGGATGGAAGAATAAGCGGGTGTACAATATACTTTTCTATCAAGATGGCAAAGCCTTTAAATTTTCTCCTTGGAATTCTGAATTCACCATTCGGAAAACCAACGTGAGTCACAATGGCATCTATCACTGCTCAGGCCTGGGATTGCATCGCTACACATCAGCAGGAGTACCTATCACTGTAAAAGGTATTGCATCTGAATAGTCATAGAGCTATAGTTGTAAGGACCAGAGGAACCATCATAAATCATCTCTTCAAATTGTAAGTGAAGAAACTGAGCTCCAAACAGGTAAACTGCCTTACTGAAGGCCACACAATGACCAGTGGCTGGGCCGGGACCAGAACTGAGGTCATCTAAGTCCCAGTCCATTGCCCTTTCCACAGTGGTCCATCAATAATCACTGGAGCTAATGTCAAGGCCAGGACATAGTGAGGATCCATTTCATCAATTTTATTTTAGCTGCAAGGAATAGAGACTCACTTAAGGTAGGTAGGAGAGATATTAGAAAATAACCCAATGGAACCTCATAAAAGCTCCATAGAAACAGAAGCCAGAAAGACATTAGGACTTTGTTGTATGTACTTTCTGTCTGTCTTTCAGAGAAAACGTGGACTCTCTGGTTCCCCTTCTTTCTGAGCATCTGCTAACTAAGCAGCTTCCTTTGTTCCAGTTTGCACACCACCCTTGTTGTGACTCTTTCATGGCCACAACCACTAGCAACTTTTTTCTGTCTGAAAAATAGTTCCCTCCTATGGGAAAGAAATTATTGTCCCAGATTATCTTTTGAGGCAGGAACACAAGTAATGAGTCACTGACCTGGATAGTGTGAGCCAATGTCCACTCCTGGTCAACCATTACTAAAAGTGCATGGTCATATAATAAATAACATGGCTAGTCAGGGGAACATGGACTATGTAGAGGTATTCTCCCCTGTAGGATGTGAGCAAGCTGGCAACTGTAAGTATATCTATGAGGAAACCCCAAGAATGCCTCTCTGCTGGAAGTGGGAAAAATTATGTCTTACGGATGCGTTCTCTAGCCGCAGGCTTCCCAAAGAGGGTGGGGGTATATCTTCTGTAAAAGAACCTTGACACTGAAGCAGGCAACCCTGTCCCTGTCAACTTTTTCTTTAGAGCTATTTCCAGCCCCAGTGCTGAAAGTATCCTCATCATTACCGATCCTGGAGGGGAATCTGGTCAACCTGAGTTGTGAAACCAAGTTGCTCCTACAGAGGCCTGGTTTGCAGCTTTACTTCTCCTTCTATGTGGACAGAAAGATCCTGATGAGCAGGAACACATCCTCTGAATACCAGATACTAACTGCTAAAAGAGAAGATTCTGGGCTATACCAGTGTGAGGCTACCACAGAAGATGGAAATGTCATCAAGCACAGCCCTGAGTTGGAGCTTCAAGTTCTTGGTGGGTGAGAATGATGGGAATTGACTGGCACAAGAGAGGATGCTCCCTTTTCTCCTATGGGACTGAGATCTGTTCAAGGGGATTTCATGGCCCATCCATGAAAAACCCATGAACAGGCCTTTCCACTCTTAACTCAGAACTTCACTATTCTCCTCCCAAACTTCATTAAATTTCTTTTCCTTCCTATTTCTTTCATTTCTATTCCTTTCCTTCCTCCATTTATTTCCTTCTTTTTGTCCTTCCTTCCTTCCTTCTTTTCTTTTCTTCTCTTCTTTATTTTCTATTTTTTCCTCTCTCTCACCTCCCTCTCCTCTCCTCTTCTCTCTTCTCCTCTTTTCTCCTCTTCTTTCCCCCTCTCTCTCACCAACAATATAATCAATAATATATTGAGTTCCTCCTATTTATTTTCACCCCAGGTAAGATACTGGGGTGCAGTTCTTACTTCAAGGAGCTCCCTTGGTAGATTGGTGAGACAGAGATTTTGTGGGTTGCGCATAAATACTTGCCCAAGTGTCTATATCTGGCTGAGGTGGAGAGATTGTGAGCTCCAGAACAAAAACTGTTTAGGAAAAAAGTTTATCTTCAACCCAAATTTATTTCAAGCATTAAATGGCATAGAAATAGCAGTTGTCTCTGAAACTAGGGAGTAAGTCCACCGACAGGGCCCCGGTGATTAGGCTCTTATGAGGATCCTGCCCTGAGTCCGTACACCTTATAGCCCAGCTGGAGCTACCTCCAGCTACTTCCTCCCCCCTGAAACTACCAGTGTCTCCACTGGGAACTGGCATATCAGGTCCCAGCCAACTTCCTGTTCCAAACATAACTCAGCCAGATCCCTCTGGTTTCTAAAAAGCATTTCTTCTCTTTGTCATTTTCTGTTTCAGGGCTCCGGTCACCAACTTCTGTCTGGTTTCATGTCCTTTTCCATCTGGCAATGGGAGTAATATTTTTGGTGGACACTGTTTTCTATGTGATAATACGTAAGGAACTTCAAAGAAAGAAAAAGTGGAATTTAGAAATCTCTTTGGACTCTGGTCATGAGAAGGCGGTATCTTCCTACCTTTAAAAAGAAAGACATGGGCCGGCCCCGTGGCTTAGCGGTTAAGTGCTCACACTCCGCTGCCAGCGGCCTGGGTTTGGAACCCTGGGCGCGCACCGACGCACTGCTTCTCCGGCCATGCTGAGGCCGCGTCCCACATACAGCAACTAGAAGGATGTGCAGCTATGACATACAACTATCTACTGGGGCTTTGGGGGAAAAATAAATAAATAAAAATTTTTAAAAAAAATTTAAAAAGAAAGACAGTTTGAAGAAGAGCTGAAATATCAGAAGTAAGAACAGCTGCAAGAAAGACACACCAGAAGAAGCCCCAGGAGGGAGGGCAGAAGCAGCAGCTCAGTGGGTGCCCATAGATCTAAACAGTCCCTACCCCTTCCTCTCTGGGTAAGCGTTGGGGCACAAACATCCACAAGTTGAAAGACACTAGAACTGTGAGTCCCATGGCATTTAACTCTTAAATAAAGCAAATAAATGAGCTGACTTCAATGGAGATCAACTTGGAAATTTGGTAATCAGGGATGATTTGAAGTGAGACCTACTCTAAAGAAATCTTTAAAAACTTAGAAGTCAAGTCTAACCTGATTATCCTATTAGGTAGTTTGAGCAATAATATATTTGGGGGCACAGGGTTAAAAGGTAAAGGTATACATATGTGTAAGAAATTAAGACAGAGAAAGAGAGACAGAATGAGGGGGGCCAGGGAGACAGAGAAAGAGAGAGAGAGGATATGAGGGAGACAAGAGGGAATAGTATAGACACAAAAGAAGGAAATATCACTTATAATGATTTCTGAGGGACCATAAGAATGAGAGAACTCACCCCTCTGTGGTGCTCAGGAGGGTTAGTCCACAGCTTTTCTCCTTTAGCACACTAGCGGGGACTGCATCCATACATCTTACAGAGATACGAGGGAGTAACGCACGATGAGAAATGGGTGCATTATTTTTGCCCTTTCATTTGAGGCTTTCTCATAACCTCTCTGTGTCCAGAGACATTAGGGGTCCTGCTTGTCTGTCCCAGTCCCTTGCCCTATAGGAAGGCAGAATGTAACTGCTGCTGTCCTTGATAACTTAAACCCAGATCTCCAGGCATGGCACTGCAAGGAGAGGTTTCAAGTGGGGAGGAGCAGTGATATCATAAGGCCCCAGCTCTTACCTCCACAGATTTACTTTACCCTTCTGATTTTCTGGATGATTACTATCTAGCTTCAAGAGATGCTGCTCTCCCACGTGGGCTCTAGTTTGGAAACAAAATATTTTCCTGCTACTCTATAACCAGCTGAGATAAAACTGAAATAAATGAATAAGACTTTACTAAAGCTTAGAAAAAACCAAAAGGGGTATAAACAAATCTAGCAACATAATTCTAGATTATTTGGTTTAAAAAAAATGTAGCTTATCTGTGAAACAAGGATGCATCCCTGCCTAGCATCTGTCCTGGCTCCACATGGCAGGGCTCACCTTTAACACCCACCACCTAGAAGCACCCTCAAGCAACCTGAAACTTGAAGTAGATGGAAGAGCACCTTCGCCCACTGCTTTCTAGTCTGTAGACAATGAAAATGCTCTTCTCCCCTTCACCTTCAGAAAAAAGTACAATAATTATCATCTTAACAGAAGTGCAACAACTCTAACATTTGTGTTAAAAGAAATGTTCATATATAATAACAAGAGTTTCATTGATTGCACATAACGTTTGATCTTATGGACTGGGGAAACAGGGAAATAAGAATTGCAGGGAATGAATCCCATAGGAAAGAGGCCCAAAGACCCTCTGTAGAGGGACCGCCTGTAGAAGACTCTAGCCTGAGGAATTGAACTGAAGCAGGAAGTGACATTCACACTCAGAGGAGAGAGCTCTGCCTACCCTCACAGGGTAGACAGAATTTCAGGGAAAGCGATCCCTGGGGGCAGAAGGTGGGGGCAGACATGGATGTAGACAGAGCACTGGGGTGAAGCTGGAATGGAACCAGTCATTTCTAAAGCATCATGAAGTGCTTCCTCCTTCCCCACTCTCTTCTTGTGTGCTTCCTTTCCAGACTTTTCCATGCATGTATCTTTGTCACAATTTTTTCTCATAAGTACTTCAGTGCTTAAATAATTGATTTGACTAAATCAGTTTCATGATTGATTAAGTGGCACGTCAGTCTACCCTTATTTCTGGCTTATAGCTGTGCCAGGAATAGGTTCTTGGGATCTCCCAAATTAAGGCCTATCTGCCTAATCCCCAAGCCTTGGTGCTGGGTCTGGTCAAGGCCTGGTACCACCTCATACTTTCTCCAGGTGGGTGCTCAGCCCTCCAATTTCCCTATAGGGGTCGGATGCCTCTCCTTAGCATTTGCCCCAATCTATCTAAGGGCTCACTCCTCTTTATTTTTATTCCATCCAGTAATGGAAACAAAAACAGAAATCACCGGATCCTGATGGGGACAGAGGCCCAAAGGACCTGGGATCCCTTCTTTGCTCACCATCCTCCACCTTTGGGGAAAGCCTGTATATGTGGGCAGGGGGTGGGTGTGGGTAATAACTCCACTTGGGAACCCAGAAACCATGGGAAGGAAAGTGAAAGGTTCTCTAGGTCTGTCTAGAGACAAAATAACAGGCACCCATAGAGAAACTTGACCCCAGAGTCTCATTTTTTGATTCACTAAATCTACATTGTTTCATACATAAAGACAAGTGCACTGATTTATTTGATTCTTCATGCCAGTTTTTCAGTTTGCAGGGAGAGGCATGGCTGAAAAAAGTCAGAGAGATGGTTGCTCACCTGAGCCTTTGGATCAGGCCTTTTGGCATTATCACTGGGAAAGAGCCATTCTGTTTCTTGTGGTTTGTGCGCCACCATTGGCCCGTCCCACACCCCCTCTGCATACTCCAGAGGTCACCTGCAGGCACTTCTCCAAAATGCCTCTGATTCTTGAAGGCTGCTCTGCTATGCAAACTGGCATTCAGGGAAAGTCAGAAGCACCAAAGAGTTAAAGACCCAGAACGGATCCTCTACCAATGAGGGATGAAAGTTAGCAGATAAACATCCCCCACTTTGTCATCCCTCAATGGGATTGTGGTGTCTCAGAGGGCCCCCCTGGAGGATTGAGCCCCAATTCCCTCAGTGGCAACCCACTCATCAGTGCCTCCTTTACTGACTTTCCTCTCTTCTTTGCCTCATTTCTCCATTCCCATCATTGTGCTTCCTGAGATTACCTCCCAAATAAGCTATCTGCACCCAAATCTTGGTCTCAGGGTCCTCTTTTGGGGGAACCTAAACTAAGACACCTTGCTTGTTTTGACTGGGCCAACTCAGGGATATCAATGACTGGTTTTTAAGTCATCTTTTGTCTGTTGCTCTCGTGTAACCTCGGCTTTTATGCCCTAAGTATCAGTCTTGATTGGTAAAATGAGACAAATGGGTGGTCATCTTCAGCTGGTGAATTCCCGTTCATTCTTTACTTATATCTTCTTTCAAGCTTTTCTGAACCTTCCAGGAAGGACTTATCCCTCCCTTCTCTTTGTCCCAGTATCCCTTTCCTCTGCATACTAGTATAACAACCTTTCAATCAGATTTTGTAGCCTACTATACTAGACACTTTAATATATAATTACATTTTCTTCTTATTCTGCATTTACTTCCAATATCTCTTCAACTTAAGCTACCTCCTATCAGTTCTTTACCTAAATCTAGAACTACTGCCCCCAAAAGTGTTCTGACCTGGAGAGAAAAATAAATGAATAAGTCTTCATCTATATGCTTCCACAAATATTTCTCCAAAACATTTCCTCAGGAACAAGGACCAAAGAAACAAAACAGAAAGGACAAGTTACTGGAACCTCTCCTGGCTCTCCAAGCAGCTGGAAGTATGGGGGAGGCTAAGCCTCCTTAGGGGCAGTGGGAATCTTACCAGATGGGAGAGAAACGCAAGACCCAGCAGAAAGCAAACCAATTCATGCTGAGACTCCCCCATGGCGCTCCACGGTGCGTGTCCTCCCTCACTGAAAGGAGTAATAAACCCAACTTATTCAACTACAGATGTGTTCTTGGTGGTCTTTGACTGGAGGTGCATTAACAGTAGCTAAAAAAAAAAAGGCTTTAAAATTTTGACCAGAAACTGAAGGGAATATAATGAAGTATGTTTCAGTTTTCATAATTACTAGCATTTTCATGACCTGCCTTCCTATGATTGTGTTTGGCCATCTTGATTAAATGTGGATGACTTCAAATTCACACATAAAATAGCTAGGAGTGAGTGACTTTTACGCATGACTCGTATAAACTGCTCTTCAATGTTTGGTGTACAAACATGGTGACTCTTATTTTTCCAAATAAAAATAATCAGCTTAAGTTCTTAATACAAGATTGGCAGGAAGTAGAGAATTACCCTCTTGGAGCTTCTTCCCTCCCCTTGGTTCATCAAAGAATCTTTGGTAATCATGCGTTCGAAAGAATTTTAAATTCGTTTCCACACTCAAGCAGGAGGAGTCCTAGTATCTAATCTGACAGCCATGATTTCTGCTATTGCTTCCTTGTGGTCCATGCACTGAAGTCTCATTCACCCAGATTCTGTCACTGGATAGCACAGTTCTGTGAAATCAAGAGACTACAAAGATGACTCAATGTTCTTGATACCACAATCCGCCTAGGGTGCTGCTCATGGTGTCCAGTGTTTTCAGTACCTCACTTAGTCATTCCCTAAGGTGCTAGCTGCCCCAAGGGTGTCATAAGCATCAACCACCTGTTCCTGCTCTTTCCCCAGGAAACTACGTAGGGTAGCTGTTGGAACACTTACCTGGTAGGAGCTTTTACTGACTGGAGGATACAGGAAGTCTCTCTTACCAATCCCCTTTAGAAAATGAGTTGAAAACCAAATTTAAGCTCCAGATCATGTACAACAGATTCATTTGACAACCACTTTGTCCATTAATAATAACTGAATGCATGGTTACATGTTCAAGATTTATAATCAGATGTATCTTGTTAAACAAACCCAACTGGTATTTTATCATTCATAAGAACAAAA